CTAACGGCAACAGGTTTACCCACATCCATGGAAATATTATTATTACAGAGGACAACTATCTGTTTGATCTAAGGTAAAACTGAATAACAGAAAACCAGCAGGGCCATGCAGATAAGTGAGTTCAGTGCAAACTTAAAGATAAAGCATCGCAGTGTGAGATAAGTGGAGCTTTTCCTGTGTCGGTGCTTTGCAACTGAAAGTATTCTCACGATCGAGAGCTTTCAGGCTAGAAAAACATTTTATCTCTTGAAAACATCGCAACATAAAGCTCAAATACGCAGTTTTTTGAGCAGAAAGAACAAAATAAGACGGTTTCAAATATTACAAAAACATAAACTAATTGTTTTTATTATCTTGATATTGATGAAGGAGATTAATGACAAAACTTTAAGGCTCAGAAGAGACATATTAAATGTTTTTCTTATTTCAATGTAAAACAAAAAAGTTTAAGTGACAAAACTAAGTTACCTTATAAAGGAACTGAGACTGATGCTGAGGGTCAAAAGGGAGTAATGCTATACAAGCAGCCAGAGCTACTGTGGAGGGTTCAGATGAGCAGAAGATCTCACTGAGAATTTACAGCAAGATGTTGCACTTTTAACATATTTATTTATTAGAAAAAAAAAAAAAAGATGGAAAAAAATGCTTTTCACCACTTTGTATTTTTACACTATTTTGAGATGATCATTCAAATATGTAGAATACTTTATATGACTCTTGCTTTTTTATTTCGCTTGTGATTTGGTGCACCATCACTCAGCTATCCTGCTGCACAGAATGCCGGCTTTTTTTTTTGTTTGTTTTTAGTTGCTGTTAACCAACAGGAAGCCTATAGTGAGGCTACCAACAACATCCTGCAACCCTTACAAAAAACAGATCAGCGGATCTCATAGGATTCACTTAAACTGCTCTAAACTTTGCCAAATTAACCTTGAATTTCTGATTGTGTTAAAAGAGGAAGAGCCAAACCTCCTGGTACGTCGTCCACCGTGATTCCAGACCTCTCTGGTGTGCGAGGGACACAGCTGTCCACCTCAGGAACCTGGAGCGGGGGCTCTGCTGACCTCTTTTGGTTCTCGAGGTATTTTCTGACGTCATCATCTGGAGGCAAAACACATATTTATATGGGGAAGAAAAAGGAAAAACACAAAAACAAGTTGTTCTCCTCAGATTATGAAAAAAAATGTCAACGTCAGACATGAGTTAATGCAAAAAAGCAGCTTTTAAATAATATTAAAGGACAAAAACATCATCGTCCTATGTGAAAAAATAAATAACCCGATCATTAAATGATTGATGAGTTGTGATTAACCAAACTATTTATTGCATTATATTTAAATTCAATAGGCCACACCCACACCTTTTTTACTTGGTGAAATTACATAGATAGAACCTGCATGACAGAATGAAGTAGGCAGGGAAATCATGGGATCAATCTCTAAAAACCCTGTCACACCTTGCCAATTTAGCCACTGTATGCCTGACATCCCAGAATCTTCTATAATGCTTGCATACGCTGAACTTTCTATGTGTTTTTTTCAATTTTGTGCGTATACATAGAGTATTCATGATGACTCCAGAACTTATGTCCAAGGACAGCCTAACTTATGCATAATGCAAGGCAACGTAATGCTTGTAAACCTTTTTTAAAAGTGACCAATTCCAAATGTTAACTTCATGTCTTTTTTGACAAAAATCCAATAAAAAGATGCATATCGACGTTATATGCCTGGTTTAACTGCAGTAGCTCACTGAAAAACAGCCACTTCTTTCTGTGTGTAAATAGCTATCTTTCTTTTTTGTTTTACACTTTCTTTTTGCTCAATTTGTTGGCAAATAAAGCCCTTCATGAGTATTTATAATAATACTGCAGATGTGTGCAGAGGTTAAACAAGGAAGTGAGGGGGCTAGCATCTCCCAGCGAGGATGAGGAAAAAAATTAGGAAAATTCCAAGATCCAGTATAAGCAAACAAACACACAAAAAAAAAAAAAGAGTAAAAAACGTTTGATTCTGGGGATAAGCTTTAAAAAGCACTAGGTTGGTGTATACTGGGGCAGCAACAAAAGCTGCAGAGGTATTCAGAGGCCACTGCAGAGAGGACGGGTGCATTAGTAAACATCCTTCGCAATAATACTAATGTAGGTACAAATGGTATTATGAACAGATCAAAGGTTTTATTGAGGAAAAATCATTTTAATGCATTTAATTTGACTTTTCATTTATAAACTTGAAATGCTTCTTACTTTGATGTTTTCTTGTTTGAATTTGTTAGGAGGATTATGATTATTTTTCTTTGATGCTTTCTGCTCTGCAGAAGATTTACTTGAAATTACAGTTGATTTAATTCATATTTGTTGGCCTAAAACCGCACAAAGGTGTCACTTTGCCTCGAGGTATTGCAGGACGGTTGGGCTCTATTAAAGGTGTAGAGGATGATCTTTCCAGGTGGATCATCTAAATAACTGGTCCTCCTAACTGTCAATCATTCTGGTGATAGTCCTACGTGCTCATCCAATTTGCTATCTTTTTCAGTGCACGCAAGCTTTCAGGCATATATCTGTGGTGCGCTACGATTTCAGACAGTCATTGAAGCTCACCTTTCTCATTGCGGTTGTATCTAAACCGCAATGAGATATCTAGAGAATGTCTTGCGCAGAGAGCTCCACTTCCAAAGCACTTTAGAATTTCCTGTCACAGCAGCCTGCTGTCGCCATAGGCTGCCACTACCAGACAGCGGCAACTAATAAATATATGGTACATGCATTGCACGGTGGTTAAGGAGTTACGTGACCAATGGCAAGCAAAAAGTAGTGATCGTCTGTCCGAACGGTCTGTCAACTGAGTTCACTATATATTCCCCGTCTATATCGTGACTGAGGGATTTAGGGGTTAGGGCGGATGTTCAGAAACAGCAAGCTTGTATGAACCATAACAACATCAAACATATAACCAGGGTGTGCAGGAAGAGAACTGGGCTTGTGCATGCTCTTGACCACCGGGTCTTGCGAAATTACACCATATGTGAAGCCGTAACAAGGATGTGCATGACAAGGAAGGGCTATATATACTGCATGTATCATTTAGGTCATTAACATTGTATTACTTCTTGAGCCCCTTGAGTTATTTACTGTCTCAGGCAGATGCTTCGGCCGGAGAGGAAGTGAAGTTGGGACTGGCCATAACAGATTGCCAGTCTGAGCCAGTCTGGGGGGGGAGAGCATAGCACAGGAGTACAGGGGATAGATGATGACTCAAACATGCAAATCAGGGACTTCTTTGACCTACTTCATTTAATTTACCTAAAATTAAGAACTTCTTGTTCTGCCAAACAGAAACCCAAAAATATGTTTATTCATGATTTGAGGTGGGCCCCACATTTCATTCTGCCTTTGGCCCCGAACAACTTAAGCTCGGCTCTGATAAGCAATCAAATAAAAAAATAAATGACATCATCTCTACGCATATGTTAAATGATCATTGTATTGTGAGGGACACACTCACCTATCATAGGTTGAAGATCTTCCACAATGTCTCTCCTCTCCACCTCCTCTAGAATACTCAGCAGCTTCCCGACAGAAGCGTCAGAGCTCCGAGCCGCCCAGTCGTCCAGAACCGTCTTGGTGGGGTTCCTGGAACTCTCATAGTTCTTGATCTCCAGGTATGAGAAGCCCATGGTCTCCGCCACGGCGGTCCAGTCCGCAGCCACCGTGTGTTTGGGGTTCAGATAGAGTCCTAACTTCTTCCTCACGCTCACATTGAGCGCAACCAGGGGGACCGAGAAAAGGTCCACTTTACAGTCGCTACCATCCATGTTAGAACCAAAGGAAATGATTACAAACTCAACCTGCGTGATTCTCAACTCAAAGTTCAGCCCACTTGGCTTTAGCAGAACAAGGAAGTGTTTTTTTTTTTTTTTTTTTTTTTTTTTTTAGTTGCTGTTAACCAA